AAGGCCCAGGCTCTCTGCTATTAATTCCTGCAATCTGAAGAAAAAGGTCCCGGACTTCTTTGCAGTAATTACTCACAATATCCCTACACACAAAATGGTATTAGATTGATTCTAGGCTATATAACTAAATACTGAATTGTGAAACATGAGATTAATTTTCTTCAAATTTTACCCTACTTTGACAAAATCCAGAACTATTATCAACTAAAACAAAAACCAAAATAAATAAGAAATTTTTCCCTAGTTTTCTCGTGTATTCATTTTGCCCCAATATGAAATTACAGAAATCAATTAAAACTTTTTCTTTTGATCCCAAATCTGCAAAAAAATATAATATTTTAATGTGACACAATTACTTAACATCGAAAACCCGCACAATCCAAATGTTGCAGATTTTTTCATGGAATGTTGATTTCTTATTAGTTCACCTAAGAACTGAAAAACTTCGTATGCCACAGTACTATTTTTTTCCACACTCTCTAAAATGGTCCAATGAAATAAAAATTAAAAATGAAGGACAAAAAAAAAAGAAAAACAGACTAACACAATCTTATCAAGGAATGCAGAAGGGAAATAATCAAACTTGGTCACAAGAAACAGTATGTTCTGTCACAAGAGCAGCTACCTTGGGCCCCCATATTTTAAAGAAAAATAGTCCCAAATTATATAAACTGTTTATAGTATTTGTGAGTTAAAAATAGGGCCAATCTAACTTATTCAAGCCCAGTCTTACTTTATCTAAACTAAAACGCTAAAATATTTTAGTTAGTGGTTATGACAATGATTTATATTGTCTTTTTTGACCTTTTTAACTTGGTAAATGTTTCGGTGTGCAATGCACATTGTATGTAATCTTAACATAAAATTACGTAAGTTGAACACAAATTCGTGTAAGCTGTAAACTTGTGAAAACTTACATAATTTTGTGAATTTACTCAAATTTGTGTTCAACTTATTATTTTTGTGAGATTACTTATGTAAGTTCGTGAAAACTTGCGTAATTTTGTATTACAACGGAGAATTTTTCTTTCAACTTTCTTGTGAAGTTTCGTACCTTTAGTTCAAATATCTTAACTAGGGGTGGGCAGCGTATGTGCCGACCCGCCACACCCACTCGACTCAACACAGTTTGGGTGGTTGCGTGACGCGTGACGGGCGGATATAGGCCCAGAATTTCAATTTTCGTGGGTTCAAGTCGGGTGGTAAACTGCCACTTTCAATGAATTACCCGATTCGTCGGTCCCCTACTTATTTTTTCCCCTTTTTCCCTCTGTCTTGCCCCCATTTTTTTCATTTCATGTTTTGTAGCTGTAGACATCCCATTTTTGACCGCTCTCAAGACTTGGACATCATCGCTTGTATACTTGATGATTGTGATTATTTGTGTTCGTTTTAGTGCCCGAAGTCCTCGGCAGAATGCCCTGTCTTTAAGCCTTAAAACCCTACCCATTTTGTGCCCTGTTTTGGACCAAAACCTTCAAGCCTGCAACCCCCTGGTGGCTGCCGACCACCAGTGACCTTTTTGTAGATATTTTGTTGGCAGCTGTTCCAGCTATTGGCGCAAGTGTCTCCATCTCTCTACACGTGTATGGAGGGATTTCTATCAGCCAAATACATGTTTTTCTATATATATGGGTCTCCTCCTCCATTTTTGAGGGTTAGAAAATTTAGAACAAAAATCTCTCTCTTTCTCTCTATTTCTCATGCAAAATTTGTGCATTTTAGCCTAAATACACTACATTTTTGCCTATACATCCTCAACCAAAGTTGATCATCTTTGAGTTGAGGTTCCTTGAAGCCTTCTTGGAGCTCTTGAAGTTGGTTTTGGCTTGAATTGTTGCCTAGAATTGAGCTTTGCTTCAAAAGGTATAACACGTGCTCTTTTACTTTGCTTTAGTACACTTGTTTTTCTATCTTTTCAAACTGTTTTTGGACTGTTTTTTAGCTATAAAAAACTCTGTTTTTGTGGACTGAAATTGGTGTTCGAGGCCATTTAAGGTTAGGGGGTATCTTACCCTTCTTTATTTCTTGCTTGTAAGACTTTTCCACCTTAGTTTCCCACCTTCAAACTTTTTTTGGGGGGGGCTTTTGAGCACTGAATTTCAGAGTATTTTCAGTGGTAAAAATTAGATTTTGAAGTCCAAAATTGGAGGGGTTGTCCTCCCTTCCTTGTGTCCGGTTTGCTAGCCTAGTTAGCTTTATGTGTTAGCTTAATTTTCTAGCCATTTGTAGCTTAATTCCAGCATGTTTTAGGCTCTGTTTTAGACTGTTTTGCCATTGTTTTTGGCTGGTTATTGCATTTGAGTCTTGTTTTGCATACCTCTAGTGTAATAGTCCTCACAAGCTTGGTGTTTTAGGCTTTTAGACACCCCTTATTTGAGTTGATTGCATTGTTTAGTGTTTTTCTCACGTCATTTCAGCACTTATAACCTTTGCAAGCTCCCTCATTTCTTCACTCTTTGTTTGCTTTGAGGGTTGTTTCAACCTTAGGATAGTTTAAGCTTGAGATTGAGGTTCATTGTTTAATGGTTTAATTCTCTTTTGGGGGTTCATTACCAACGGCATGACACCTCTCTCTTGCCTTAAACTACCCCTTGTTTGACACTTGCTTCTCTTTAGAGGACTTATCACCAATGGACTTAATTGGTTAAAGGATGGTTGGTAAATTAAAATGAGTAAAGTTGATACTAAAAGTGAGCAAAGATAAGAATTTGATTGTGTTTTGATGTGTTCAATCGGACGTTAATTGAACACAAGGAAAATTGGGACATTTCATACTCAAAGTGATGAAATGTGTCAAGTTTCCTAGATCTCCATTGCCCTTGATCTTGCATGATAGGGTGATGGTCTTGAGTCTTGTTTGTGCATTTATCAAACTTGTACAAATTGGTTCCTTAGCCATCATGTAATGAAATTGCTTGATTGATGGTTTGAGGACCAAGTGTAGCACTCCTTTGAGATATTTTGATGATAAGGAGGGATACACAGTACAAACAACTTGTGAGAATATCCTTTTTCTGCCCTATTTGCTCTCTGTTGGAGCATGGAATTGTGCATCACTAGTGGCCGGCAGGCCATCAGTGTTGGACGGCAACCCTTCAGTGGCGGCCAGCCGGTCACCAATGAATTTTGAGCAGTATGCTTGTGAAGCATGGCAGAGTTGATTTAGAGAAGGAAAATAGTGCAAGGGTTGTGCAACAGAGGCTTCCAAGGGCAAACAGTGGATGTTCTTCGGGTGGAAACCAAGCATGCATGGGCCTCCCTCGCTCCCCGGGACTAGTTCATTAGTTTAATTAGCAATTAATCATTTATTTGTTGTAATTAATTAGTTGTGGCTAATTAGTTTATTTTGTATTTATTTAATTAGCTTAGATTGATTAATTAAATTAGTTTGTGTTGTAATATTTAATTAGCTTAGCCTAGTTAAATTCTTAATTAGCTTAGATAGCTAGTTTATTCATTCAAGTTTTGTAATAATTAGTTAAGTAGTTTAGCTTAGCTAGTTTATTCATTCGGACTCTCCTTCGTGAGAGCATGATGTAATAACGTGCATGTCTTCCAACCCCACGTCTTTCTCCCTTTCATTTACCGGCTTTTGATGGTTAGATTAGGGACATGTTTCGATTAGCATATCGCATGTTTGCATCCATTCATTTTTATTGCATGCACTGATGCTCAACGCATCATTCAAACTGCATTTTTATTTCAATACTTTTTTGAATATGTGCTTAGACCGCATGTTATCAAATCGATCCATATGCCATATTTAGTAGCCGAGCCAATTTTGGTTGCATTCTTGCATGCGTTACATTAGACACTTGGCATAGTTAGGAATCATGCATTCTTCTAACTAGTTTTTCTTTTTTTGGGCTTGGAGTACTAGGTGAGTTTTTAGTGTTCTAGCATACTTGCATGAGTGTGAGTGATTGCCATAATTAGCATACTTGCCATGAGGCTAAATGCTTACTTGTTGAACTGCTTGAGTGCCTATGGATGAAGGCTTGTTGCTTGAATTAGAATAATTCAATGAATGTACGTTTAAGCCCACTTTGTTAAGTGGGAAATTCGCAAACTTTAAGCCCACTTGAGGTAGCAAATTCAAACCCTTTTCAAAAAACAAACATGAAATTGAATTGTTCCAATTTGAGCAAACTAGTCTATACTTGCTTGTGCGCATTACATAGTAATTCTAGCCTAATAAACCGAAACAAGAGCATATATTTTGTTCAATATGCTATTGTTGCTGCTGATAGATATTATTTTTGTTGAAATAATTCAAAAAAATATTGCCAAAAATTATCGCAAGAAGTGGTCACTGGCATCGGAGGTGGTTGCTAAGCGGGAGAGGAGAGAGTCATAATAATGTTGATAATATGGATGAAGGAGATGAAGAAAGGATATTTTACAGATATTGATAGGTGAAAAAAATAACAAGATTTATAAGTAAATAAATCTGTTTAATAAGACCGATCCATAAATATCCCTCGTACGTCAACCCAAGCCAACCAGGGCCGGCCCAAGTGCATGGCCATTAAGACCCTGGCCTTCGGCCCCAAAAAAATAAAGGCCCTCATTTTTATGATGACATGTTGAGCACATGTGGTTTAGCCTGCTTTAGTTGGTTCCAATCCATCCAAGAAACTTGGATTTCCTATTAGGCCCAAAGCCAAAAGTCTTGAGATGTTATTTTAAAAACAAATTTTTAGAGAGAATTTAAAAAATTTTAAAATTTGTTTGGTTGTATATTTTATTAATAATTTTAAAATTTTAAAATTTGAAATAATTTGATATTTTGTTATAATTGAATAAATAAGTGAGAGAAAAAATAATTAAAAAAAAAGATAATTGATTAAGATATAATAGAGAGAAAAATAATTTTTTTAAAAAAAATTTCAATCAAACATAATTTTTTTCTTTTTTTTCCAATGTTTTGAAAGACATTCAAATTCTTTATAAAAAGAAAATGCTTCATCCCTTTGAGTCAAAGGACACAGCTCTCTCTCTCTCTCTCGCTCTCGGTCAGCAGCGACGACGAACGATGATTAAGAGGTAAACTAGATGTCTGTCCTCCAACTTTGCAGTGTATGTGTTTGACGACGACGAACGACGATTTTATGGAATTTTCTCTTCAATTTAGCAATGGATCTAATTCAATGTATGTATTTGTGGTTGAAATCAGTTTCTTACAAAATACCTCATTGAAGATTAGAAAATAAACACTTCAATTTCAAAGTGGAATAGCTATTAAGCTTGAATTTTCCATTAATTTTCTAACTTGTTACACATTTATCATTCCGTATAAATTGGGTTTAGGGTTTGGGTGTGTATTCTGTTTGTTAGAGGGCTATGGGTTTGATTCAAGACATGAATTGTGAATTTTGTTTTTGAAGTTAGACATGGTCTCATTTCTTTAGCTGTTGCATCCAAGTTTGGTTTTACTAAAGCTGAGATTTGAAGAGTTCATTTCAAGTGAGGTATTGAAAGGCTCTTGAGATATTTAGAGTTTTCACTTTTAGATTTGGTGAAAGTTGAGCCAAACAATTGGGGTCGGCCGTGTATATAGAAATAATTATTTTCTACTAAAATCATATTTTGATGGGTTTGATCATAATGTTCATATGAAGGCTCTGTGTATAGAAATAGATGACATCATTGGATGATATTGATGGTATTGTGGAAGATATATAAAGCAAATATATTTGAAAGGATTGAGGACAAAATGGAAAGCATTGCTGGAGAACTACATGAAGATATAGCTAGTTCAATGAGTATTTTGTTTGTTATTTCTGTCTCTCTCTCTCTCTCTCTCTCAGTTTGTTTGTTTGTTTGTTTGTTTTTTTGAACATCATTTGTAGATGACAAGTTCAAGTGTTAATGGCACTAGCTCAGATCACTTGACATATTGCAACAAAAATTGTTGTAAATGTCATAAAAGAGCAGGTATTCAATGGAGCTTGCCTACAAATTCGCTATGTAGAGATGATGAAATTGCAAGACAGCTAGAAGAAGTGCAAATGGACAATGTGCAAATTGTCAATGAACAACTTGATGAAATTGCAAGACAGCTAGAAGAAGTGCAAATGGCCGATGTGCAAATTGTCAATGAACAACTTCAATTTCTGATTGCTGTGCAAATGGACAATGTGCAAATTGTCAATGAACAACTTCAATTTCTGATCGCGAAGATTCAAAAATTGGAAACTGATGTTATGTTTATTAAGTATGGGTTAATTGTGGCCTTGATTGTGTTTGGTTCCTTGTTAGTTATGAAGATGTGATAATGTATGCAAGTTGGTCATTTACTTTAAGAGCAGTCTCAGCGTTTGAAGCAGAAGCAACGGCATACTTTTTGGCAGTACAGTGGGCAAGGCAGAATAGTTTGTTTTGGATAGAAGCTCGGACCGATCAGGGTTAAGTGTGGCGTAGTTTACTTATAGGTTTTTGCATTTGCTCTTGTTTATGGTTGTATTACATGTAGATTATATGAACATTGGTTTCACAATAATAAACGTGAGACAAGACTTCAGTCACCGTTCTATCTTCATTTAATTGGTATTTTTTAAGTTAATTTCTCATTCACTCACTCTTTAGTGGATTTGATCAAGCAAAAGTTTATGATTCATCTACACATAGAAGTGAGCACATTACAGCATAAGCCCGTCGTAAAGACGTGAATCTTCCCACATTATTTTGACTTGGAGTCCACATTTTCGATGTAAATCTTACTTGTGAATCTCACCTTTACGTCATAAACGATGTGAATCTCCCCGTTATTTTGACTCAGAGTCACAAGAGTCGACATTTGTGACGTAAATCTCACCTATATTTTGACTTAGAGTCTACCAAAACTTGTATATTAAAACCATTAAAAGGATTTTTGATGGCTTTGATGGGGGCATAAGAGCCCATCAACCTCTACAAATCATCGCCCACGAGGGGAGGAGGGATGGTAATATGGACTTTGGAAAGGAGAGAGAAAAAAAAAAAAACAAATTCCTAGATTTCCAAATTGACCAACAAATCTGGACAATGAAGAGGGTACAATCCTCAAATCTCTGACCCTTGCAGACCGAACTAGGCTGTGTGGCCTTGGTCAATTTCCCTAAAGTATCCTCAAAACTCCCGATTGGATTATTTTATCGTTTCACCAATTTTTTTTAACACTGCTATCTCACATATATAAAGCAACAACAAAGAGGTCCATTGCATTTGGAGGCGTCAACCATTCCATAAAAATGCATCAACTAAAGGTGGTTGCATCTACCCATTATTTAATGAAATTGGAACCTTCTAAATACTCAACTGCATATATATGAGCATCCTTAGCAAAATAACTGCAGCATCCTTCCAAACAACATTGCAACGTCGCACATTGCAATGTAGAAAAAGGAGGCTATTCCAACGATAGTAGAGGGAAAAAAAAAAAAAAAAAATTAAAATCAAAACAAAACAAAACAAAAACAATTGTAGCTAGTGATACATTCATCAAGACAAGAAGTTATTCTAGGTGATGGGCTACATGAATTGGGACTACAACAAGAAGCTTACTGGTCAACGGTACAAGGGACGGTACAAGCCAGGGGATCATTGGACACCAGGGGATCATTGGACGTTATTCGTTCTTGAACAGTTCCAAACAATGTTCTTGATCCAAAACTTCTTGTAATACTGTGCGTATGTAAAATTCCAGTATACCACTCCAGTTCCATCCTCGGTGAGTTCCTTTGGTGGGCTAATCAAAGCATCATCACTCGGGCAGAGGAAGGATGCCACTGACATCCTTGGTTTATCAGCATTGACAACGGCTCGATGCCACACGCTTCTATATCTCCCATTACTCAGAGCCTACATTGTTGATTTTTTTTCTCGTTCAAGGTAAGTCAACAGAGGCAGCAATATATAATTATGTTATGGAATCACAAAGCATATGTTCTCTCAAAGAATTCATGATATGCTAATGCACATTTTCAAATTTAATTTCTTTTCCACATTTTATATCTTGGCAACTTCACAAATTAAAAATTAAAATGAGATTGCAATGAAACACAGATGTTCATTTTTTATTTTATTTTATAAACTAAAGGTTACCTGCAATTGATCACCAAGGTTAATGACAAAAGCATTGGGGTGGGGTTTGACAGCCATCCACTTACAAACCTTGAGGGCTTGAAGGCCCGCAACTTGAAGATCTTGAAGAAGAATTGTGAGGGCATTCGGGTCTGTCTGCCCCGGCAACCCATATGTCAGCTCCGGTTCGGGACATGGTGGGTAATAGTTGACTGCCATGTGTTGTCCTTGCTCGCCCAACGCGTTCTTTACATGGTCTTTGTCAAGGCTCAGGCTCTCTGCTATTAATTCCTGCAATCTGAAGAAAAAGGTCCCGGACTTCTTTGCAGTAATTACTCACAATATCTCTACACACAAAATGGTATTAGATTGATTCTAGGCTATATAACTAAATACTGAATTGTGAAACATGAGATTAATTTTCTTCAAATTTTACCTTACTTTGACAAAATCCAGAACTATTATCAACTAAAACAAAAACCAAAATAAATAAGAAAATTTTCCCTAGTTTTCTCTTCTGTATTCATTTTGCCCCAATATGAAATTACAGAAATCAATTAAAACTTTTTCTTTTGATCCCAAATCTGCAAAAAATATAATATTTTAATGTGACACAATTACTTAACATCGAAAACCCGCACAATCCAAATGTTGCAGATTTTTTCATGGAATGTTGATTTCTTATTAGTTCACCTAAGAACTGAAAAACTTCGTATGCCACAGTACTATTTTTTTCCACACTCTCTAAAATGGTCCAATGAAATAAAAATTAAAAATGAAGGACAAAAAAAAAAGAAAAACAGACTAACACAATCTTATCAAGGAATGCAGAAGGGAAATAATCAAACTTGGTCACAAGAAACAGTATGTTCTGTCACAAGAGCAGCTACCTTGGGCCCCCATATTTTAAAGAAAAATAGTCCCAAATTATATAAACTGTTTATAGTATTTGTGAGTTAAAAATAGGGCCAATCTAACTTATTCAAGCCCAGTCTTACTTTATCTAAACTAAAACGCTAAAATATTTTAGTTAGTGGTTATGACGATGATTTATATTGTCTTTTTTGACCTTTTTAACTTGGTAAATGTTTCGGTGTGCAATGCATATTGTATGTAATCTTAACATAAAATTACGTAAGTTGAACACAAATTCGTGTAAGCCGTAAGCTTGTGAAAACTTACATAATTTTGTGAATTTACCCAAATTTGTGTTCAACTTATTATTTTTGTGAGATCACTTATGTAAGTTCGTGAAAACTTGCGTAATTTTGTATTACATCGGAGAATTTTTCTTTCAACTTTCTCGTAAAGTTTTGTACCTTTAGTTCAAATATCTTAATTAGGGGTGGGCAGCGTATGTGCCGACCCGCCATACCCACTCGACTTGACACAGTTTGGGTGGTTGCGTGATGCGTGACGGGCGGATACAGGCCCATAATTTCAATTTTCGTGGGTTCAAGTCGGGTGGTAAATTGCCACTTTCAATGAATTACTCGATCTGTCGGTCCCCCACTTATTTTTTCCCCTTTTTCCCTCTGTCTTGCCCCCCATTTTTTTCATTTCATGTTTTGTAGCTGTAAACATCTCATTTTTGACCGCCCTCAAGACTTGGACATCATCACTTGTGCACTTGATGATTGTGATTATTTGTGTTCGTTTTAGTGCCCGAAGTCCTCGGCAGAATGCCTTGTCTTTAAGCCTTAAAACCCTGTCCATTCTGTGCCCTATTTTGGACCAAAACCTTCAAGCCTGCAACCCCTTGGTGGCTGCCGGCCACCAGTGACCTTTTTGCAGATATTTTGTTGACAGCTGTTCTAACTGTTGGCACGAGTGTCTCTATCTCTTTACACGTGTATGGAGGGATTTCTCTCGGCCAAATGCATGTTTTTCTATATATATGGGGTCTCCTCCTCCATTTTTGAGGGTTAGAAAATTTGGAACAAAAATCTCTCTCTCTCTCTCTCTCTACATTTCTCTCTCTCTCTCTTGCAAATTTGTGCATTTTAGCCTAAATACACTACATTTTTGCCTATACATCCTCAACCAAAGTTGATCATCTTTGAGCTGAGGTTCCTTGAAGCCTTCTTGGAGCTCTTGAAGTTGGTTTTGGCTTGAATTTTTGCCTAGAATTGAGCTTTGCTTCAAAATGTATAACACTTGCCCTTTTACTTTGCTTTAGTACACTTGTTTTTCTATCTTTTCAAACTGTTTTTGGACTGTTTTTTAACTATAAAAAACTCTGTTTTTATGGATTGAAATTGGTGTTTGAGGTCATTTAAGGTTAGGGGGGTATCTCACCCTTCTTTATTTCTTGCTTGTAAGACTTTTCTACCTTAGTTTCCCACCTTCAAACTTTTTTTTTGGGGGGCTTTTGAGCACTGAATTTCAGAATATTTTCAGTGGTAAAAATCAGATTTTGAAGTCCAAAATTGGAGGGGTTATCCTCCCTTCCTTGTGTCTAGTTTGCTAGCTTAGTTAGCTTTATGTGTTAGCTTAATTTTTTAGCCATTTGTAGCTTAATTCCAGCATGTTTTAGACTCTATTTTAGACTGTTTTGCCTTTGTTTTTGGCTGGTTATTGCATTTGATTCTTGTTTTGCATGCCTCTAGTGTAATAGTTCTCACAAGCTTGGTGTTTTAGGCTTTTAGACACCTCTTATTTGAGTTGATTGCATTGTTTAGTGCTTTTCTCACTTCATTTCAACACTTATAACCTTTGCAAGCTCCCTCATTTCTTCACCCTTTGTTTGCTTTGAGGGTTGTTTCAACCTTAGGATAGTTTAAGCATGAGATTGAGGTTCATTGTTTAATGGTTTAATTCTCTTTTGGGGGTTCATTACCAACGGCATGACACCTCTCTCTTGCCTTAAACTACCCCTTGTTTGACACTTCCTTCTCTTTAGAGGACTTATCACCAATGGACTTAATTGGTTAAAGGATGGTTGGTAAATTAAAATGAGTAAAGTTGAAACTAAAAGTGAGCAAAGATAAGAATTTGGTTGTGTTTTGATGTGTTCAATCGGACGTTAATTGAACACAAGGAAAATTGAGACATTTCATACTCAAAGTGATGAAATGTGTCAAGTTTCCTAGATCTCCATTGCCCTTGATCTTGCATGATAGGGTGATGGTCTTGAGTCTTGTTTGTGCATTTATCAAACTTGTACAAATTGGTTCCTTAGCCATCATGCAATGAAATTGCTTGATTGATGGTTTGAGGACCAAGTGTAGCACTCCTTTGAGATATTTTGATGATAAGGAGGGATACACAATACAAACAACTTGTGAGAATATCCTTTTTCTACCCTGTTTGCTCTCTGTTGCAGCATGGAATTGTGCATCACTAGTGGCTGGCAGGCCATCAGTGTTGGACGGCAACCCCTCAATGGCGGCCAGCCAGCCACCAATGAATTTTGAGCAGTATGCTTGTGAAGCATGGTAGAGTTGATTTGAAGAAGGAAAATAGTGCAAAGGTTGT